TGTGGCGTTCCGTGCACGGAAACCAACCGACAAGAGCGCTAGGGCCTTGCAAAGTAAGCTGCTGAAGCTGCAGATTTTTTCTCTTATCAGGCTGTTGTCTGGCGCTCTCTCATCTGTAGCGCTCTCTCGCCTCATACTCTCCTCTCCGCGCTTAGTCTCTCATTCCCTTAGCACAGCCGATTAGAAGGTGAGTGAGCCCTTAACCTAAGCGTTTTCGACGGATTCTTTTCCTTTTTTCTTTACTGCCGGCCCATTTCGCACCAATACATTCGCATTCGTGTGCAAGAGCCACACCAATGTGATCCTGGGGCATGCCTTTAAAGGAACAGCTTGAATGTGCTTCGAAGTGCTCTCACTTTCCAGAGGAAGTAGCTTGCACAAAACTCCCTCGAAAGACTGACCCGTGCCGCCCCTTTTGCTTTTTATCTCTTCATACTTTTCTATTCGTTCTACCGTACGGGTTTTCCAGGAAGAACGTTTCCAAGTCATCTGGCCGTGAAAATCTCTGCCGAATCATCCGTGAAAAGGTACGAGTTTTACATTTACTGAAGCACACAAAAACGGTGTTGCGTAAGGAGCTTTATTGAGAATTTCATAAGAAACATCACAATGAGCATTTCTACACCTTCTTGGATCCATCTTCGAAGAATACTCCTCCATCTCGAGCGCAGTACTGCGGGCAAATACCTGCAAATTTATTAGTTTATACATTGTGAACCATAACCACGTGAAACTCGAACACTCACCTTTTTCTCCAGATGGTCCAGGAGTTCCGGGCTGACCAGGTTGACCAGGCTGGCCATCCGGACCCCGCAGACCATCACTTCCAGGTTGTCCGCGACCTCCTGGTTGACCGGCTTGACCAGGAGGTCCTGGAGTTCCTGGTGTTCCTGGTTCTCCAGGTGCACCCTAAATTTTTTAGTCGAAAGTATTGCGTAAGTACAATAAAGTAGTTTCTTAATAGCATTCTATTCTCACCGGAGGTCCCTTTGGTCCAGGAGGTCCAGGAGTGGAGGCAATGCTCCGTGCAGGTGTGCCTGGTTGGCCAGGGGCTCCTCCTTCACCATTGGCGCCTGCCTCTCCAGGAGGTCCGTCGGGTCCCTTTGGCCCAGGTTGTCCTCTTGATCCTGGTTGACCTGGTGGTCCGTGCTCCCCATCGATTCCTAAAAACAGAAACATTCTCATTAGGACCGAGTCACCTTAAACACAAAGTAATCAACGAGTTATGACGTAAGCGGCCGGGTTTTTCCGCTCCGGAGGCATTTGGTGCGTTCCGGCTACGCGACCGCGACGTCCACAACCGGTTCGCTGCAGTGCGGTCTCCATTCAACGCAACCATTTCCACGCTCGAGTCATACCCCACCTACGTACTATGCCTTCGGGGGTTCATGATCATGAAACAAGTGAAAGGAATGAAGAACGAAAGGAGCGGGGAAATATGCGGAAATTAAGTACATCTCACTAGGCGCTTCCGAATGGTGACGATCCTGATAACGATTATGCAGCTCTATTTAGACAAAATAACTTTTTCAGGAGTTCCAACTTCAAGGGACATTTGGGTGATATTTCAACAACTTTTTGAACCATGGAACGCTGTGGAGGAGAAATGTGTGGAGTCGAGTGAGCCCTTTTAATGGATTGGGCCTCCAATCAGCCCTGTTATTCATCCAGGGTCAACCTTCGAAAAAATAGTCCTAAATGACGCTAAGGAAGGCGACTCCCCCAAAGAAAACAATGGCCATTCTAAATGTAGGCGATTGGAAACACCTAAGCTATCCCCGAGAGCACAGCGGGGTTGAGTATTTGTTTAGCACATTTCGCAAGTACAGCACGCTCTCAAAATTACCATAACAAAACTACTAAGTCCTTCTGGTAGCCCAATAATCGTCTCTGAAACCATTTAAGGAACAGGTTTATTCAAATTTGGAAAAAAAATGGTTATTTCCTGAAGGGCATCTACTACATGCCTATTTCAACACGCCTACCAGGGTAAACCAGCCAGTGCACTACTTCTACAGTTTTACCTTCACCAGAATCATCCGGTTCTGTACAGGAAATGGTAGTGCTTGTTCGTGTTTGTAGCTTAAGGAATGCATGCTTGATTGATCTGCTGAGATTGTATCGGTTGCCCAGTCGTTAGCCCAAAAAGGCTGCGGCGACCACGACAACATTCCAAGAAACGCCTCACGTTGTTGTAGAGCGTACAGACATCTTAGCGGCTTAAACGTGAGATTGGGACGCCATTGACGTTACGCGCATACTAGTTCTGGTTTCTTTTCGGGCAACACCACACT